ATGGTGACGTGTTCAATATTTATTTTACCCGCTGTATTTGTACTTTTATGTTTACACCAATTTTAGCTGTTAAAAACTCTTGAAACCAATTTTATATTAAAAAAATAAACAATTACAGGAAAAAAACAAATAAAATGTCTCATTTTAACTGTGGAAATGACACCGAAATATCGCATAGGTCTAATTTGACAACACAGATAGAAGGTAAGTTTACATACCATCACTTCAAATTTGAACTTTTTTAATACAGAGCAGGATAAACACTCTCCCAACAAATATAAATTTACACTCAAACTGCTCAATCATCCATTTAAATTTCACACTGCATGAAAAACAAAGTCAGAATATAAACATCCAGATCTCCATAGTTCTTCAAGTTCAGGAAAACCTGTTGAATGTTTGTGTCCTCCTTTCTTCTGCTCTCGACTGAATTTATCGTGTTACTTTTTGAACCAAGTACTTACTTTTTTATATTTCAGTATCTAAAGAAAATGGCAATAACAGTCTAATTAGTTAAAACTCAGTATATTTTGCACAGTTTTGGTGCTTAAAACACCACAAAATAAAAACATGGTGAAAAGTACTGCTTAGCAATGAAGCAGCAGAAATATGCTGCACACGTTGAATCCGTCTCTTATTTAAGAGTAAAATAAAAGTAGTTGATTTGAAAAGAGGCTCACAGTCAATTTTTTATTTTAATGTAATTTACTAATATGTCCCTGAAATCTAAAAACATACCAGTACCATATTTGGGAGGTACCAGCACAGAGTGACATCAGTGACAACTAATCACTTGCAGAATTTCACGACTTTGTGCATTTAGTATCGATTTGTACTTTGTCAGGTGAAAATAAATATAAATTTACATAAATCTTAATGGGCATTCATTAATGACCACACAGGTCCCTTTTGCACTTAAAGGAAAGTTAAAGAAATATCGCAGTAATAAAGAAGTTCCCACGTCCCAGAGGTTTACTTCACATCACTTTACCTGAGCAGCTACACCCCTCCTCAGACAGTGGTACTTTATCTAAAGGAAATACAAACTATCTGGTGCAAGAACACAACTGATTGTAATCAGACTGATATATTAAAACTCTAGGTTTATATCTGCCCATGCCCGATAAGGAATACCTTTTCATTTTCTGCACAACTGCAGAAATCACCTTTCCAAAAGGATGCGAGTTGTTCTGATTTCCTAATATTTAAAGCAGCAAATATCTGCAGAGTGCCTTCTGATTTTAATTAGTAGAAGAGTAAGGAACCACACTAAAAACTGGCATAGCTAATTGCAAATCAAACATACATGGCTGAAAAGCCAAATGCTGGAACTTAACCACAATCAGGTGACCATCTAGACTTAAAGAAAATCCTGTGTTCACGTTTCATCTAACGAACACAAAACCATTTAACAGTCTGTTAGAGAGCCGAGGAGCAGCGGCGCTCTTCTCTCAATAGGGGGGAAAATAAAAAATATCTCAAGGCAATAACCGAGCCCTGACCAGATCAGGTGATCAGTGCTCCTGCGGGAAGCCGTGTCTGTCTCAGGGTTCATAAAGCCACGGAGTGCGACATCAGGGCTGCAGTCACTCATTGACGTCCCAGATTTCAGACAGCAGCGGCGGAAGCTTCTTATCCTGGAGACGTAGGGCGAAAACCTGCTCCGAGTGGACGCTGCTTAACGTGCGAAGGCTCACCAGTTTCATCAGCATACGGGGAAACATCAGGTGATCCTGGGAAAGCCGAAGAAACAAAATCTAAGCACCACAGAAAGCCAAGATGGTTTTGCTCAGATTGCTCAGAACCTGGCCTGATGTAAACATGTTTAACAGAGTTTTAAAATCTCATTAACAGAATTTGATTACCACACTGAAAAAACTTTAGATAAGCTTTAGACCACAGCAGCAAAACTGTGAACAAAATGAAAGCAGTAAAAGCTCAGAATAGATTTTTTTAAGCCTCCAAAGTCATTTTGACTCTTTTTTTTCTATTTAGTAAAAGTGCTGAGGAACAAACATTTGATTGTTGTCTTTTTGTTGGTCCAACAAACAAAAAGAAAACTCACTGAGGAGCTAATTTTATGCACATGTAAATACAGTTACAAGGTTGTTTTTAAATGGTACGCTCTGTCCAATTTGTTACTGTTATGGAAATATTTAACAAAGACAGAAATACATGGTCCAAGAATGAAGGTAGTCCGTGGAAATGATCAGCTGAGTTTTATTGCAACGACAGGAAACACAGTGAACATCAGACTATCCCCCTGCTCTCTGCTCCTGTCTCTGTGCTTCTGCCTCTCCTCAGACAGTTGAGGTCTCATTTATAAATATATATTGTTAAACAAACACTATTATGTCATCTTAGCAAGATTTCATCCTAGGTCAAGGAAAAACACAAAGATAAACACAAGTGATATCTAAGAATGATTGTTGTTGTTAGCAAATCTTATAGTGACTTTAATCATTCTATCTGCAGATAAACAGCATGTCATGAAAACTTAGGTCATGTATGTCATGAATTACTGACTTAAACCTAAAAGTATTATTTCCGAAGTTACCATCTTCAAAAATCATTAATAATAAAAAAGTAAAATATTTATGATGAACACATTGTGTGTCTGCACTGAGGAGGACAAGTCTACAAAAAGTTAACTCAGGACAGATATTCTGCATAGAAAGAATGATGCTATTCTATTTATTATTGTTATCATTAGTTATACATTCAGTCACAGACAACATTTATGCAAATATTGCAATTTTCTGAGTTTTGGAAAAAAAAAACTGAAATGTCCTTTAACCTGAAAAATGGGGCAAAATCTGTGTAATTTAAGGATAATCCACATAATTTGACATGCATGGTTTCCTCACTTCATTAAAACTTGTTTAGTTTTAGTAGTACAGTAGTACTTTATGAATATATCAACATAACACATTTGAAAATATCCTGATAAACATAACAGATAAATCTACAAACACTTGTAGTGGCCAAAAGTTGGGGCATTGTGTAAAATATTAAATAAAAAAGAGAGAAAGAGAGAGAAAGAGAGAGAAAGAAAGAGAGAGAGTGAGAGAAAGAGAAAGAGAGAAAGAGTGAAAGAGAGAGAGAGAGAGAGAGAGTGAGAGAGTGAGAGAGTGAGAGAGTGAGAGAGTGAGAGAGAGAGTGAGTGAGTGAGTGAGTGAGTGAGTGAG